TTCAAGTTTCAATTGCTTGCTTTGCTTAGCATTTCCGGACCGGATTAGCAATTGTGTTAGTAAATCTGGTGGTATGCTAATTTTTGGGAATTGATTATTCTGAAATCCAGATAAGTAATTTATTACAGATTATAAATCGAACTTTTAAAAATATCATTTTATTGTCTAATAGTTCTACAGATATACTGTATATTGACACCTAGGATTTGATGTATTAATACAAGTTATGGATATTATGATATCTATTTTATTCATATTAGTGGATGTGCATAAAAATCATTTAACGAATGTTTTATTCATATTAAAATTTAGCAGTGTGCATTAGATTTATGTATGTTATTAAAATTTTTATTTTCCAATTTGCGTTATTATTTGATTATTTATTCACATTAATAGCGAGTATAAAAATTATCTTGGATATTTGACACTTTATGTTTTATGTTTAATTAACAGATAAATTTGATGATTATTTAATTTTATCAATTATAGTATATCTAATCTAATTATTAAAATCGTATTTTGATCATAAAAACTACATATATTCAATCATATGACAGGGGCATGCCTTTTGGTTTAAAGGCATGCTCTGAGGCATGCCCGAGGACATGCACAAAGAGGGACATGCCCATGGACTCCGTGCCCTCCACCCTAGCTACCGCACCCACATACAAGCAAGAAGGCTTGGGGCAATGGAGTTGATGATATTACTTCTTCAGTATCAAATAACACGATCTACCGTATCGGTCCAATACCTACCCTCGGCACCATCTAACTTGCGTGTTAGGGCAGTAAAACCTATCCACTTGCAACTTCGAGCACAAGAAGAAGACAACGACGAAGAAAAACCTTACTGGGATGATGCTATCGATAAATATTTCGACCGACCCGTAACTATCGAGTTCGATAATATAACATATCCTGAATATTTCTAGAAATATAGCCTAAAGCTTATACCACAATCACAAAATACAAGACAACTATGAGCACGAGACCAGAAGGGCCGTTACATTTCTAAGAGAAAAAAACCCTTGCTTCTGAGATTCATCACCTACAAAGTCAAAGACAGTAAGATTAGCATATCCTATAGCTTAACCCATAAAATATAAAATAATTAAAACAGATATACACATCGTCTCGTTATGATTCATAAAAAAAAAAAATCTGATTAATTAAATTCACACTGACCAATACTAACTAAACTTTAATCCACAAAGAACATAAATAAACTATCAATAAAAAAAGCTCATGGAAGAAAAAAAAAATATAAACTATAAAAATTTACTATCAAAATAACCAATACCTTGTAAAATCTCATATTAGGGGAACCGTTCTTCTTCCAGCATCTAATAATGAAAATTCTGTGTCGCTCAGAAAAACAACTACTAGGAAACCACCTGAATTATCTTGAAAAATTTAAATCTTTATTCTCTGAACAGTACGAACAAGAAATTAATAGACTAACCAACACATCCATAACTCAACAACTCAGAACATCAAACGCCTATAGAGAAATCATAAAACAAATCCTAACAAACTTAAATAACATAGAACTTTATGAATTAATTCTCATTCCTAGAAAGAAAAACTCAAACAATAGATCTACACAGTTCACTAATGCTTGACGAAGACCAATACTTAATATATAACATCATACGCAACTCATGGGAATAGAAAATGACAGCAAATACTTTTTCTTCTTCTTAACCGGATCAGCAGGCATGGATAAATCGTACCTACTACACATAATCATAAACCTACTCAAATCGAAAAAACTAATCACCTTGTAATTGCACCAACTGGAGTAGCCACACAAACATAGGTGAAAGAACTATCCACTCAGCACTAAAAATAAGACAGACTTATTCTCATTACGAAACCTTAGTGGTACACAATCAAAGCCTAAAAGAAAGTCTGAAAAAAGTAGAAGTTATAATTATTGAAGAAATATTAATGGTTTCGAGCGACTTGTTCTCATTCATTAGTAACATGTTCGGCTCAATTCATAATAATTCAAAAATATTTGGAGGAATCTTGACACTTCTAGTTGGCGATCTATTCCAACTACCACCAATAAATGCACAATACGCATTTCATTCACCCGTTTGGAAGAGTTTTTCCCCCTATTCCTAACCCAACCAAAAAGACAAAGAAATGACCCCAGTTTTTACAACCTACTTCAAGAATTACAATATGGTCGATTATCAGAAACATCAAAAAATATGATTAACAACAAAGTCCAAAACTCAAACCCTGAATACAACATGATCACATCAACTCATCTAGTAGGAATACGTGAAACTACCAAAGAAATCAACAAAATCATATGTGAAAATCTCACGACAACCGAATGCGGCATAAGTTCGATAATATCAAAAGTGATTGACACCCTTAACCATAAACCAATCGACACGAACAACGACAGTAACTTCAACTTTAACTGCCACACTAACTTACCCAACGAAATAATCCTAAAAGAAGGATCGAGAATTATGTTTCTAAACAATAAATTATTTGATCACAACATTTGTAATGGTACAATAGGCATAATTACTAATATAATCAACGAACAAAATATAGAAGTAACATTCCCAACCACTACAGACATCGTAAAACTAAACATACAAAAAGAAACAACTTACTTTAATATTAATGATAATCCAGCATCAAGACACCAATTTCCTATTCAAAACGCTTTTGCCCTCACAATCCACAAAACCCAAGGCTTAACACTACTATACACGACACTAAGCATAAACGATAAAATATTCGCAGAAGGACAAGTCTACGTTGCAATGAGTAGAGCTCCCACGTGGGAATCCATCAACATTGTTAACTTTAACCTTGACTCAGTTAAGACAAACGTATCAGTAATAAATGAATATGCGAGACTAAGCGAAGTAAACAGAAAAGGATTACCAAACATGTTAAATAGATAACCCTATATTTAAATTTTTAACTACATGCGTTTTTTTACGTGATCTAATCTACATATCGGTATAACAAACATAAAATCAAATGCTTAATAAAACAACCAATCAAGACACGTATTCGGTTACATAAAAAAAAAACTTGCAGCGAAACGCACATGATTCTATTTATATTATGATATATATATATCAATTTATGATCTACAGTAATTTAAATGATTTGCTACTACTTGTGTAGAATTTGAATCAACTAAAGAAAAAAAAATAACAGATACAAAATAAAATGTAAAAAAAAAACAATCTAATTTCACCATTCAAAAAAGAAAAAGCAAAAAAAGTATTACAGAAACATCATACTCAAAACTACTGTTCGAAGTATTCCACTTCCTTCGCAAAAAAACAGACCGAAGGAAATCAAATCATTTCGTACGATTCTTCACAACCTACTAACATCTACCAAATTCATTCAAAATGCTAATAGATTCGTTAAAATATGTGCATATATATATATATATATATATATATCGCAAGCCTCTGAGAATTGGATACAAATTTGACATCAATCATAGAGTGCTACACCGCAACATAAGCTCACACTTCAATTTCACTCTTCATCTTCACATAAAAATATCTTCTTCAAGAAATACGCATCCAAAGATCGAAAATGGCATGATACCAGTAAAAGAGATAAAATCACGAACTTCCGACTCTCATCTTGTGAAAAAAAAAAGAAATATTAAGGAATAAAAAATATATATATATATTTAAAAACAAGAAAAAAAAATCAATGATGCTCACTGCACAACATTCGTCTAAAGTTAGTAATAAGATATATACTTAGACAAAAGAAAGAAATCAAAATCTTGAAATACTCGAAGACATGAGATGATCAAGGAAGTAGTTTTGAATTATATGCGGTATAACTTGACATCTTATTCCATATCGTCCAAACCTAATACCGTAGTGTGTACTAAAAAAAAAAAAAAAAAAAAATATATATATATATATATATATATTATTTGGTAATTCCAATCTCTGTTGACGAAAAAATGCAAAACTAACAAATTCATCGAACATTACCTAGTAGATGAATTTTTCTGGGAAATTATGAATCATCGTATTCCAGTATACAATATCATTTATCATAAAAACCAACATCACAGTAATGAGAACTTGGAAAAAAGATAAGCAGAAAAACGAGGGCGAAATTCTTTTAAAGTACGAATTCAACAACAAACTACCAACGAATTTAACAGAAATGATAACCAACTTAAAGAAAACAACAATGACGAAAAAGAAAAATTCGAGATAAATCGATACCAACATGTACCAGCACGTTGGACTATATG